TTTAATCATGATTATCTCACTTAGTAATTATGTTGGAAATTAATTTAGAATAACTTTGATCTAAACTAAAAGTTCATTTTTAAGATGTATAAATGCAATATGGAAATAACAGATTTTTAATTATCATACTTATATTGTCTTGATTTTAATATTGTACAACAATTGGTAACAAAGCAAAGTAAACTGTACCGAAGTTATAATGTATATTCTTTTTAATAACCCAACACTTACAAATATCAATGTTTTATGCAGATAAATAAATGGACGCCTATTGAAAATAATACTGTTAAAGGAAAGACTAATGAAACAAAATAACTAAACAAGTTTACTTTCCTCATTGAAAATCAAAGTTTACAGGTTATTTCGCTCGATTTTGCAACTAATAACACTCGTTAGCTTCTTTCATGACGAGTATGTTTATAAGTTTTGAAGTAATTTTCATAGTTTTCCTCGAACAAACTATCTCTCAAGTTTAATTTAAACATAAATTACCTTAAAGATTAAACTAGTAGTGTTTAGCATTATATTTTAATATAAAACTCCTAGTCTATTGAAGTTGAAAGTTACTTACATCTTTTATCTTTTATGGAATAGTATAGGCCGCCAACCAATATTCTTCAAGTTGAGATTTATCTCTTGAAATATAAAATTCTGTACATAAATTGATAAACTAGTAATCTTATTAATCCTACAAATTATATAAGGTTAGCATCAGAAGGGGTCTTGTGGAGATTGTAGTAATAGTGTGGCGTGTGCTACTTATATTGGTATAAGTAGTATATAACGTGCGTTAAAAGAACGTAATGTCCGGCAGTGGAAGATTGCGAAGATCAAGAAATGTAGAGTGAGAACACAATGGAATTTGTAAGAAAATGCATGAACAATGGAATGGGAGACAATGGTTTGGTGTTTGCAACAGAAACAGTCCAGTTTGGTTTGATGCATGAATATTTTGCAACTTGACGATTGACTATATGGTATTCAGATTTTGTTGAGATAGACTGTAATTGTTGTGCTAAATACATCCGTTTGTCCCCACCCGTGTTCTTGTTCACTACAATAGTAGTAATGAATGCGCACTGCTGAGGAGTCTCACAATAGGACCAAACGGCCGTCCAATGCTTCCAGGTTTTCCATGGTGGTCTAGCTTCAATTGACTCATGATATCTAGGGTTAGTTGAATATTTTGAAGTTTCATTCCAACGATAATGCTAAAAATTTAGAACAATAAAGTTCGTTAATATTCTAAATATCACACAAACATGAATGTCAACAAGTAACAAAAGTATGCCTGAAACTGTTTTTATTCTCTGTAAAATTCAATAATGTATACTCAGGATTAATGAAACCACTCTTCGAATATTAAAATTCCATTATGATGATGGCTTACCAATATGTTGTCCAAGTAGAGTATAAAACCATAATATGGTCACATTATCTCTTAATTTCAATAATTGGAAATGCTCATATTTAACTGCATTTCATTCATTTCGTTTAGATAATTGATTTTTATATTAAAAGTTTAATAAAAATAGCTAATACACACTGATGCGTTGCAATTCTTAATTTTGACAATAGGGAAATACAAGCCATTGCAAGTAAACCCCACTTCCATTACAATATCATCATACTGTATCTGTTAACTGTTAATAAACCTTACTTATGTCTATATATATCATGCATTAGGAGAAAAGTTAACAATATTACAGAGTTACTTGGTAAAATAGAAAAACCATACTATAATACCTAATTTGCAAAATGTTCAATAAATGTCTCGGACTTTATTGTTCTTAAATTTCCTATACTAATTACTTTCTATTCCCATTCTCCCTTTCTTGATCTTCCCAATCTTCTGCTGCCAGACATTACATTCATGACTCGTGTTATATACTACTTATGTCAATATAAGTAGCACGCACCACAATACTTATTTACTCCTGTTACTCCCAATGGAGCATAGGCCGCCGACAAGCATTCTCCAACGAACTCCCTACTGGGCCTTCTTTTCTAGTTCCATCCAATTCTTGTTCATTTTTCTCATGTCTATCTCCATTTCCCGACGTAATGTATTCTTTGGTCTTTACCTTCTCCCCATTTGGCCTTCAGGATTCCATGTGAGGACTCGTCTTGTGACATAGTCGGGTGCTTTCCTCAATGTGTGTCCTATCCACTTCCAGAGCTTCTTCCTAATTTCTTCCCCCGTTGAGATCTGGTTTGTTCTCTCCCACAGTAGGTTAATGCTAAAAGTATCCGGCCAACAGATCCGAAGTATTTTGTATAGACAGCTGTTAATAAACACTAGTTTCTTCTGGATGATGGTTTTCGTAGTTCTCCAGGTTTCCGCCCCATACAGTGTAAGTGTCTTGACATTTGTATTAAAAATCCTGACCTTGGTGTTGGTTGACAGTTGCTTTGAGTACCAGATGTTCCTCAGTTGTAAATATGCTGCTCTTGCTCTGCAGATGCGCGCCTTCACATATGCATCAGGTCCACCTTGTTCATCAATGATGCTGCCCAAATATGTACAGGTTTTTACATCTTCCAAATCTCATCCGTCAACTATGATTGGATTGTTGCATGCTGTGTTGTATCGGAGAATCTTGCTTTTCCTTTTGTGTATGTTGAGACCTGGTGCTACTGAGACTACCGCTACACTAGTCGTCTTTTCCTGCATTTGTTGTTGCGTGTGCGATTGAAGAGCCAGATCATCTGCGAAATCTGGATTGTCCAACTGCATTCTAGATGTCCACTGTATCCCGTGCTTCCCTCCAGATGTTGACATATTCAATGTCCAGTCGATCACCAGAAGAAAGAGAAAGGGTGAGAGTAAGCAACCTTGCCTGACACCGGTCTTTACCTCAAACGAGTTAGTCAACTGTCCTCCATACACGATTTTGTAGTTTAATCCATCATATGAATTCTGTATGATATTGATTATCTTCTGAGGCACGCCGTAGTGTCCAAAAAGCTTCCATAGTTTTGTTCTGTCCACGCTATCAAATGCTTTTTCGTAGTCAATGAAGTTGATGTAGAGTGATGAATTCCATTCAATTGATTGTTCCACAATGATCCGTAGTGTTGAGATTTGGTCTGTACACGATCTATCCTTACGGAATCCTGCCTGTTGGTCACGAAGTTGGGCGTCTACGCAGTCCTTCATTCTGTTTAACAATACCCTGTTGAATAATTTTCACGGTATTGAGAGAAGAGTGATACCCCTGTAGTTATCACACTTGCTGAGATCGCCTTTCTTCGATATTTTGGTCAGAAGTCCTTCTTTCCAGTCTGTTGGTACTTCTTCCTCATCCCAAATCTTATTGAAGAGAATGTGGAGTATCCTTGCAGTTGCCGCTACGTCTACTTTTAGTGCCTCTGCTTGAATGTTGTCTGGTCCTGCTGCTTTGCCACTCTTGATTTGTCTGATGGCCATGCTGATTTCGTCAATTGTTGGTTGGCCAACATCGATTGTTAGGTCCGTGAGTGCTACTTCGATGTTGGGTGGGTTCAGTGGAGCTGGTCGATTCAAGAATTCTTTGAAGTGTTCTACCCACCTGTTTCGTTGTTTTTCAATGTTGGTGATGACCTCCCCTTCCTTGCTTTTCACTGGTCTACGGCGATTTCCAGAGAGTTTCTTTGTCGTGTAATACAGTTGTCTCATGTTTCCTTCTCTCGCAGCCTTTCCCGCTGTCATTGCTAAATCTTCCACATATTTACGTTTGTCGGTTCTGATACTCCTCTTCACTTGTTTGTTTGCTTCTGTGTATTCAGCGTGTGCTTTGACTTTTTATGCTCTTGTTTGGCTGGTATTGATTGCTACCTCCTTGTTCCTCCTTTCTTGAATCTTATCCAGTGTATCAACAGTGATCCATTCCTTGTGATGGTGCTTCTTGTGACTCAGGACCTCATGACATGATGCTATATCAGCTCCTTTCTTGGTTCTCACGTCCTCCATAGTCCTCCTGAACGTTTTGTTGATGCAAATATGGTCGATTTGGTTTTGTGTGGTGTGATCCGGTGAAGTCCATGTGGTTTTGTGTATGCGTTTATGTGGGAATATGGTGCCTCCTATGACTAGTTTATTGAAGGCACATAGGTTTGCAAATCTCTCATCATTTTTGTTCCTTTATCCCAGTCCGTGTCGTCCCATGATGTCTTCATATCCAGTGTTGTCCGTTCCAACCTTGGCATTGAAATCTCCCATCAGAATGGGAAGGTCCTTTGTTGGGCGCTTTTCGACGATTGGCTGCAGCCATTGTAGAATTGATCTTTAGCGTATTCATTGTAATCGTTGGTAGGCGCATAGCATTGGATGATGTTCAATGAAATGCCTTTTTTCTTTGTGTTTGAACGAGGCTTTGATGATCCTTGGTTCATGAAATTCCCATCCTATAAGTGCCTTTTATGCTTGTTTGGACAGCATCAATGCAACTCCTTGTGTACGTGGGGCATTTTCTTCTTCATGGCTGGAGTATAACAGAAGCTCTCCTGAAGTTAGTCGTTGTTGTCCAACTTGCGTCCAGTGTGTTTCACTGATCCCAAGTACCTCTAGGTTGTATTTTCTTATTTCTGCAGCAATTTGGAAGGCTCTCCCGGTACCCACACTGTATGAACATTCCATGTACCTAAATAAATGGTCGCTCTGGTTGTCAGAAGGGGCATCGGCCTCGTAACTTCCGAAGGAATTCGGCTTTCATCATGAGGCGTCATAGTTCTTCTAAATGAAGACCTTCTGACTCCCAGGGCAGAGGTTAAAAGGTTTGAATAATTTTTCCTGGTTAGCGTTTTTTAGCGAGTTAGTTTTCTACGGTATGGGGACGCTAACCCCATGCCCAACCCTCCTCTTTTATCCGGGCTTGGGACCGGCAGTAGCCCCCGGAGGGACTCCAGGCGGAGTTGTTTTTATTCCTTTCACTAATCTATACAATAAGAAAAATTATCTTTCCGTATGACATTTTCATCGATTTAAATCAATAAATGTTCATTCTGATTTTTTTTTCTAGTCAACAGTGACCTCGGCCCAAAATAACAACTACAATAGTGTTCAACATACATATTGAAGAATTACGCTAACAATTATGACAATATTGTTCAAATATTTTTCGAAAAGATTAATTTATCCGTTAACAATGAAAACTTTATTGGTTCTCTTCATTTATTATACATTTTCAATTCATGGATCTATTCAACATGCAGCTTTAGGTCAACCAATGAAAGATAGTTCATTAGCTAAAGAAGTCTATTTTAGAACAGATTCAGGATATAATAAATGTTTAGCAATTTGTTTATATTGTTATCGTGATGTAAGTTAATGATAATCTCATTCCTTACATATACAAAATCATAATAATCAGCCCTATTATTAAAAATATTTAATCTTGCATAAATAGTTTTGAATAAGTAAACTAAATATCAGTTATTGGATTAGTCAAGTCGGATGAATAATCATTATCTGCATACATAGTCTATCTTCTAATAAACATATTCAATGTGTTAATTTTTACTAGCATAAAATGTTACATCTAGTTTGACTTAACATAAATACCCCCCACTAATAATGTATAGCAATGGTTTAGTTGCTTAGATTTTCAGAGTTTAAAAATAGGTTAGACTGTTTAGTTCTTAAGGAGTTAAGTATTATCTATACCAGTTGTATATCAAGCACTAATCACAGAAACTATTTTAACTTACATGTGATTACTAGTTTACATTTTAGCTATTGCTATATTTTAAGAAATAGATTATTTATTTCAATCCGACTATGATACTTCAATAATCACAAATTACCATCCAATCACAACACAATACTAACAATGTTAGGTAGCTGGAAACAATCACCAGAAATTCCTGAAACTAAGTTTCATGCATCTTGGCAGTAGTTAGAGAATCCCATTTGAAGAAAATTATTATTCTTAATGAGTTTCGAAGCCTCACTAACACTAGAGACGTTAACAGTGAACTGAAAGTAGAAAGTGAAGACTCTTTTTATTAAAATTTTTTAGTATTTCTTCCTAGTAACTAAAATCATAATACCCTTTAATCAACTAGTATGAAAGGTGAAAATACTTATCGAAAAATCTACATTGATACACAGGAATAACCAAAAAAGGTGTTCAACAATTCTTAGTAAATTATAATCAAAAAACGTAGACTAGTCATTAAGTTATTTATTCATGACAGAAAAAGAATTAATTGTATATGAAATATGTATGCAAAACATATTCGAGAATTTTTTCATTCCGATTAACTGATTTAGCTTAGTTACAGCAAAAAATTTTTGAAATCAATATGCTTAGCCACATAATTCAGTGTAGATTAAATAAGTGAAGTCATCTTCAGAGTTTTCAGTGGTAAATAACAGCGTTGTACCCAGGACTTCCGGTTGCTTTTCCATTTGTTTAGTATATATCTATCGCCTATTGGGATGCATGTCCATGAAAAATTCATTTCAAGTCCCAACTTTTAGTATATTTATACGAATATTCTTCAATATCAGAACTATGAGCGCCGAGTATAGAGAAGACATTATATGTGAAAATTATATTTGAAATAATCTCAGCGATTGAAATCTAAACAATTCCAACGTTTCATCCAGCAAAGTCGTCTGAACCTTTTAAGGATTGTAATCGAAACCATAATTATAATCTATTTATTTAATTTCCAATCGGTCAGGTTATTTCAAATATATTTTTCATATATAATGTTTTATTACATTTGTTTTATATCCGGCATGTTGGGCTTCACTACACTAGGTATGTGCATAGCAGACAGTTGAGAATAGCTCCAGACGCTTGAAATGAAATCTTTAGTGAAAATAATATACCGATATGCAGCACTCATTCAATAAATGAAGGGAAAAATAATTGAAACTGGTGCATACGAAATGCCTACTGAGTATTGAAAACCTTGAGAAACTGCTTTTAGTGGTATTAACCCAAAAACTAGGAGTATGGAAGTTCTCCCGATACTGAACCAAGAGTATTTGGATATAAATTTATTGATCACCTAATATAATAATACTAATGTTAATACTATTACCCCTAATCATAATAGTATTAATAATAATCCCTATGCTCCATTGGGAGTAACAGGAGTAAGTAAGTAAGTAATAACACAGTACCGTTTATTGAAATGAATTCATCAGTCATCAGTTTATAGGTCTAACTTAGTATTCGTTACTCTGTTTCACAAATTCAATCTAATTATCATTACGTACATCGTGTGTTTTTTGTGCATATTTCAGCAAAAGTCATTTTATGATTGTGCAAACGTTCAATGTCCATTGTTACAAGATGCAGATTTCCCACCGCATTTCGATGAGGACTGTGTATTACTTTCATCTTTAAGCATGAAACTGAAAGAATCCTTAATACACTAAGCAAAATTTGATGGAATTATTACAAACAAAACGCATAGAAAATTTATTTCTCAACCGTAAATATTGTATCAAATGCTTGCCAATAATATTCAATAAATCTATGATTTTACTAGAGATGATTCTGTCTATATTATTTAAATAGAATAATAGTGGGTAAAAAGAGTATCAATTTTAGATTACTGTGCATCATAACAGGCTACAGAATGATGTATTCTATTTATCCACTTGATTAATTTTCATTCGGTTCAATTTATGAATGTCAAGAAGCAAGGTGAATTTCATGTTTATTTGTCTCGAAAATTATGATTTATAAACCCTTAATTTATCATAATACAACGACATTTACTAGCAACTTTCTGATAATGGTTCCAAATACTAGACGGAAACCGAAATTAGTTATGGACATAAACATTAGTCATATTCAGGTTGAACAACCGCTACATACTAACGCAACACATAACTAGAAGAAAACATCCCTGCTCCAAAGTTTTTGCTTGAAAATATAAGATAAAATGTTTAACGATTAAATAAATATAGGGTCACTGACCTTGGATATCAAATAAAAAAATAGTATGATAAAAGTAACAACTAGTGAAAACAGTTCATTAGGTAAGATAAAATGAAAAGTGACAATCAGGAATTTCGAGCGGGACCAAAAACAATAAATCTGATTATGGAAAGCTCTACTATCATTATAAGCTGAGTCTCGAGTTCTCTACAGCAATACTAATTCATTCACCATCTGTCGATTTCAATAGTACACTTAACGAGCGTCTATACATGCACTCAATAGCATTATACACGTTTGTTGACGCTGACGTTCCTATACAATGATAACATCAATAGAAGTATGAGCGAATTATGTCTCCAGTCTTATTATGAAAATACCTGTACGAATATCAGAACCAAACTTCAACGAACTTGGTTACTGCATAAAACGGAACCAACTTTCGTTTGTTAACATTATTCTTATGTGTGTATCCATCTACCCAGGCTATAAATGTAGTTTGTAATTAGCAGATATCTATCTTCCTGACAGGAGTGAACCACCAAGAACTCTGATTTTCAGGTCAATTCAACCAAGTGATTCTGTCGTAACTGTTTCCACCTCTCATGAAAATCTTAATGGCGTATAGTGAGACATCCATAATTTCAAAATGTTTTTCATTTTTTTCAAATGTAATAAAAAAAGTAGGAAGTAGCAGTTATACGGGATTTGTTTAATGGAACTAATTGGGTATTTTCATGTGAATTAAGAAAGCGTGATTCCCAACGTATGCTGTCAGTCAGCTACAACATAGGATCAGGCACATATATGTATCGGATCAAATTGCCATACCTCATTAACACAATAAGATGAACACCGGATTCATATAAGTAGTTAATTCAATGTTGGTAATATATAAAAAAAGATGGCATATAAGGATATAGTACAGGAAGAAAGGATTACTTCGTAGAAAGAATGATATGAAGCGATTTTAATCTCTTAGTTTAAGGAAAGATAGAGAGTGCATACACCGACGCCATTGTGATCGATTCTGAACCATGTCAACCCAGAGTCTCCAACTATTGGTTACAATAGTCACGTGGACCCCAAACAAGTAGTCTGCATCTACCAACATGGCTCAGACTAGAGGTTAGTGTCTTCAAGCACTGATGCCATGTTTTGGTTTGGCCACCCCTCTTCCAACCATCTCTAACACCGGTTAGCATTGCACGTCATGGTAATCGGTGTTCAGGCATACGTAACACGTGGCCCAATCATCTCAGTCGATGAAGATTAACAACCTCAGCAACTGATTAACCATCATTCCCTAATACCCTGCGTCTAACCTCACTATTACTCACCCGGTGATCCCAGCAGACGCCAGCAATATTTCTAAGGCATCTGTGGTCAAATACTAGTAGCTTACGAGTATCTTCTACTCCTAATAGTCATGCTTCGCTGCCGTAAATTAAAACAGAACGGACTGCCTGAAGCAATAACTTGCATTTAGAGGACAAAAAACTCATTACAAATATACTGGCATTGTTGCTCGGTGCTACCAAAAGACTGAATTTTGTCAGCGTCTTCATCAAACGGGACTATGTCATCTGCGTATTATAAGTCGATAGGTGGACCTCCTGGAAGGAGATCAATACCCGGGAATTCAGTAGACGAGAATGTTATTTCCATCAGTAGGTCTATGATGAAGTTAAACAGAAATGGAGAAAGTGGACATCCTTGATGAACACTACTTGAGGTTGCAAAACTAGATGACAGTTGGCCATAAGTCCTGACTCGACTAGTAGTGTTCGAGTAAAGAGTCTTCACAAGGTTTATGTACTTCTGAAGTACGCCTTTCAATGACAGACACTGCCACAGAATCTCGCGGTCTACAGAGTCAAATGCTGCTTTTAAGTCAAGAAAGACCACCATTGTCGGACGTCGATAAGTATGCCTGTGTTCTAGAACCTGATGAATGGTGAATATGTGGTCGATGCAGCCACGACCAGGTCTGAAGCCAGCTTGGTTCTCTCGTGTTTGCAGTTCACGAGTCTCAGTTGGGCGTCCAATAATTATTGAGGCTAGTACTTTAGATACTATATTAGTTAAACTAATCCCTCTATGGTTGTCACAGGATGATTTTAACCCTCTCTTATATATTGGGACGATCAGTGATGGCGACCAGTCAGATGGGATAACGTCTAACTCCCAGATCTTAGCTAAAATATTAGTCAACCTAATCGCTAAAATTAGACCACCATCCTTAAAGACCTCTGGAGCCAATCCATCTGGACCAGTGCCCTTCCTCGTTTCAGATTAACCATAGCCTTTTGAACTTCTGCTAGAGTTGGGGGACCTACTTCAATGTTCCATTCACACTGTCTGAGAATAGAGGGTAGTTGTAGAGTAGCTGAAGGCCAGCTTAACTGTTCTCTGAAATGTTCCATCCATCGTTCTAAACGTCTGAACTGAGAACATATGAGGGTGTCGTCTTTTTCCGAAATAGACTGACTTACATTTGACTTATTAATTCCAGTTTCTTTTATTAGTCTGTAGAGCTGTCTTGTGTTCCCTATAGTTGCCGCCTTTTCCGTCTATTTTGCTTTCACTGCCCACCACTGCTCAGGTGGTTCCTTAGACTTTTGCCTAACCTATATCTGATTTGTTGTCGCTCTTCATCGTGTTCAGAGCCTGATGGAATGACTTTACGAGAATCCATCAGTGTGATAGACCTTGAGGAAATCCATTGGTTCTTTGTAACCCTGTGGTTTAAATCACTGATAGATGTCACTGATGTTTCCTCAGCTGTTTGTATAGCTTTCCAAGCAACATCTGGGTCAGCCTCGTTTTCAGAACTACCTAAATATGACCTCAGTTGTTCCTGGAACCTACTTTTGATTTTCTCGTTACTCAACTCAGTTCTAATGGGTCTTTTTAGTATGGCTTTTCTGCGTCCAGTGAGGCGCTTTCTGAAGAAGTTCAGATAGCTTTCTGTAAAATTCATCGTTCACTTCATCTGAGCTGCAGTCGGTGGGAGCGTAGGCAGAAACGACAAAAAGGCAACGACGTGTGTCCCTATCCTTCCGAGTTCTTACGGAGCCGTTTAGCCGAACAGCACATAGACGACTGTCAACGGGGATCCACTCTAACAATGCTTGTTCCGCCCTCATGCTTAATGCTGTGCCCACACCTGCCAGTCCACGAAAACTGGCCGTCGGGTCACCAGATACACGGAGGGTGTATCTCTTTGGCTTTCCGTTTTGCCGGGGTGAGGTCAAGTGGATGACCACACTGGGATCCTGTATGCGTGTTCCAGAGACACAGCATACATCAATGGCACGAGATTCTAGAGTTCTAGCCAAGGAAGTCTGTTGACCGATTTGACATAGGGTGCGTACGTTGAAGGCTCCAATGTGTAGTTTAGAGCGAGGTTTCAGTAGGCCTGGGACAGTGTTTCGCGCACTAAAATCGTTGGCTATGGTGACACTCGAAGGGGAAGCCGAAAAATGAAGTTTAGAGTTGAAAGTCGATGTAGGAGGAATAATAGGAAATGAAGACAGAAGTTGATTATAATTATGGTCTTGAGTGCTGTTAGAGGTATGAGGGCGTTTATCACTTCCCGGTTGCCCACACCGTGGAAGGGTTCTTCTGGAGGTACCTGAAAAGGAAATTGGATTACAGGTGGTCTTAGTGACCTGAGAGCGTGACCGCAGTGCCCAAGGGACAACTGCTTGAGGCCGGTCACACACGACCTTTTCATGGGTAGTTTTTGTGTCAGCTCCGTACTTGTTGAGACCTTACCACCGGAGACGGATATCCGTGGGATAAGGCGAGGTGTGCATTTTTAGGGTCGACCTTTTTTAACCCCATCCCTCCTTGTGGGAAGACAGCATCGCTGTCATGCTGGTTGTCTGAAGGAAACACCTTACTGCTGTCACACCTCTGTACTGTCAGCAGTACGGCTTCGCCTTCGGACCTTGGGTTTGTTGCTTTTAGTTTTACCGCTCTTCAACCGACCTGTCTGACATGGTAGGACCCCGAGGAACGGTTATTCCAGCCAGTATAGCTCGGTTACTTCATCACGATAAGTAAGCCCGAACACCACGTCAAGGTAGCAACAACGGTCGGGGACGTATGCTGTACAATAATCTACTTCAATTCATGACTAAAGACGCTCTAAAAATAAACGTGACTTTTCTACACAATTGGCTACAGATATTTTACTCGATCATCAAGGGAGATTCTGCACTAGATCCGATAGTTACTTTAGTTTTTGTAATGTTAAAATGTACTAGCACCATAAAATGAGAGTTTTTGGTATTTAGAGTGCTCTAATATAACTAACACTTTGAGAATAGTTTACCAATACATGGTTTGCAGGACCCATGACAAAATCATTCTGTTGTACACTACCTCGAAATCGAGTCACCTAGTGTCTGTTTACCTTTGTGTACATAGTGGAGATCAATGAATGTACATAACCTGTACTTCACACTATGAGATAGAACTTCCGTATAGAATTATCGAAATCATTCTATTTTTATTTTAGGGCCTTTTCGAAACACTTAAAAACTTCAGCTTAGGTTTTTTATAAAAGGTTTTGGGAGTGGTTTTATTTTTTAATAACTGACGGCTTAAACTTTCCTATCTCGCTGAGGAAAGTCAATTAAGTAGTTGGAATTTCCACAGATATTCTACTCGAGTATCTTAAAGTTGTATTGACGTTAGTCTACCGCATCTACTTCAGAAAAAAAAGTAATTCAATGTTTTCAATAATAAAACAGACATTATATTTAATCTTTATGCTAAAGTGCTGAGTCGAAACTCACTATGGTGAGTCAGGGCTATACAATCATGTAGTTCTGATTTGCCTTATCGTGCTGTAGAATCGATATTTATTCCTTTGACCAGAAAACATCACATGATAAAAATCCAAAATATTTGATTTCGATTATTACCCTGAAGAATTCCAGATAAGCTAGTTGGATGAAAAGTTGGAATTATTCAAATTTCAATCGCTGAGATTATTTCAAATATAATTACTTCTTTACTCGGCGCCCAATTTCTGTCAGACTATTCGTTCTAATCTTGACGAATATTCTTATAAATCCAAAATATAGTTTAACAAAACCATAGTAATATAAAAAGGTACACAAAATATTGGATTTTCTGTCCACAACGGTATAATAGTCATATTAAAATTGACTCCTCCTGATATCCTTGGTTCTTTAATAAGTACCCTTACTCCAAGTCGAGGCAATGCATCTATTTGCATTAACGATTAGAAGCTAAGCATCAGGATAGGTGGCTTCCAAATAATGAATTCAAATTTTCTAAGATAACGTTTCAAGGTTATTCCCAGTGAAGGACTAATCATCGTAATTTAAATAGTGGCCACTTAAATATAAGTACAAACTTGTAGATTTCTCTATGGTGTGTCTTCACATTTAAAAGATAAATGTAGTATGAATTAGAAACACTGGAAACAATGTTGACATTATATGGTGGTTGAAAGTATTCAACAGGAAACCCGGGTTTCGTGCTACTTGGCACTCGTCAACAAACTGTACCTGTAATCTTGAGGGAACTGGTTCTCCCTGACGGATTCGATCCTGTTTCACCCAGCTTCACAGTCAGAGACGTTACCACTAGGCTATCCGAGCCATGACCGACCTCCTGTAGGACTGAGATGTGATCACAACTGATTGATCACTGGGTGGTGATCAATGTGTATCAAGTCCTTCTTAGTGCATATCGAATGCTATCGACCAAGTGAACGCGATGTCGAGTCACCTATACTAGCGACCACATTGTAACTTGGTCGATAGCATTCGATCTGCACTAAGAAGGACTTGACACACATAACACTGATCACCATCCAGTGATCAATCAACTGTGACACTGAAAATAAACCAACAGTATTTATTTTGTTGTTGCAGGAAGATTTCCTGAAGAGTAAGTACATACCAGTCCTTGTATGAATTATGAGATTACTTTAGTAGCCGAAAACTGGGATGCACTTGGTGCCAAAATCTGAAATAGTTGCAGTAATGCAGTCAGACACTAAAAACCCTAAACAGTGCTGCAATGCCTTTTTATTATCCCTATTCTCACATCCAGTGTTCCTATATTTCCAAGCCATTTCAGCATATGGATCTACACTTTTACCATTTCATTACGTTACGAATTATTATTATGCAAACGGCGTTTCTAAAAACAAATCTACAAATTATTCTTCAGCAAACTGTTAATCGATATCCTGCATCAATCGTACATATCATTTTAAGACCAAACAATGAGTAAGAGATGATGACGGGTATACATTAGTAGTTAGGATATGGTATGATTATCCGACGGGAACAAAAGTACACTATTGGTTGGAAATCTGAATCAATATTTTAAGGGGCACATATCTATATTAATGAATGAGTTTGTGAATATATCTGATTTGGTTTACCAATACAATTTTCTGATAACTTATAGTCTTCTTACGAAGGTTAGCATGTCAGACTTGTGTATAGGAAATGTGCACAACGGTTTTAGAAATCAGACGACCCCCCAACAATAATAACGAACTATCAACTCCTGGTAGTAGATAATTATGTGTACATATTATTATCGCAAAGTTTTAATAGACGACATTATCCATAGAATTTTTCGCAATTTATTTATATACAAAAGAATACCATCTGCTCAATTATTTTATCATTATGATCGAATGTCAAGTAAATACAACGATTTTAAAATAAGATAATAGGAAATTAGAAATTACCAAATGTATACACTTAAAACAACCATATCAAATTTTATAGTCATGGAAAATAGTGTTCAATAACGACTGAGCACTGTTTGTAAACAACTGTCAATAAGCATTGCATCTTGTTCCATTTTCATGGACCAACATTCAACATCACCCAGTTCTTTAAGTACATTACGAATATCGGAAACAAGCTTTAGCCATACATTGACATGGTTCTGATAAATATGTAATTGAGTTATTAACTCTTTGAATTCACTGTTTAGTCGATGTTGATTTATATATGCCTAAAAGGACAGAAATCAAGTTAATGTATGTCGTATTAAATGAATGCTAAATATTGAATATAATATAAGCTTATGCTGAATGTTACTGAGTTGTTCGAGTTTTATAACCAAAAACTAATTGTTGAAAAATGTTCTAGTATAATAAGTGGCATAGATGACCTGGTTTGTAATAAGTAGTATGGCTCATACATAGTTGGTGCCCTCTTGTACCACTATTTATGTGTTCAAAGAAATAAATAATTTGTAATAAGTATCACTATCAGTATCATATGAGTCAAAACTTTCCATAATAAACCTAAATGGAAAATAGCAGTCAATGGAGTCGATGTAATGCATCAACTGTAACAAAATCACAAGGTCCCAAACTCAACCATAGTGAATTTATTATTGTATATAAAATAAGAATAAAACAACTTTCAAACTCCTTTTATATCTCAAAAATTCTTCGGTTGATTTCAATTTAACAAAATCCTATAAACCAAAGTAACAAACACGAGAAATGATTGGGCTTAACGCTCGTCAATTCACTTTTAAGAAGTGCTCTAAAGTTGTCAGTAGTTTAAATATTTTTATTCCAAGGTCAGTTGAAATTATCCCTAAAGTGTTCTGCCTATAGATCCAATCTCCTCTATTGAGAATGTATAATATGTCCATCTTTTTCTGAGATAGTTTCGCTAATAGTCGGGTTCCTAATACCAGTTTCCTCAACAAGTCTGAACAGTTGTCTGCTATTACCTATTGCCGCTGCCTTTTCCATCTCTCTTGCTTTCGCTACTCACCACTGTTCACGACCATTGCGTAGGCTTCTTGTCAGCTTGCACTTAAGCTGACTCCGCTCTTCATTATGTTCAGAGCCAGGTGGAATGAGTTTTCGAGCATCAGTGCGGTAGATGCTGCTGAGATCCAGTGTTGCTCCCTAACCTTACGGGTTACTGTACTAACAGATATCACTGATGTTTCCACAGCTTTTCGGATATCATTCCATGCTGCCTCGGGGTGGACATCACATACATGGCTGCCTAACTATTTTCCTAGTTGTTCCTGAAATATACTCTTAGCTTGACTATCATTAAATAGGCCCCTAAGAGGTTTCCTTGTAGCATCTTTCCTACGTCCAGTAAGACGCAGACAAATACGCGCTCGCACTAGAGCATGATCTGAATCTAAGCATGTGCTTCAGAATGAGCGACAGTCTTCTATCGAGCCCTCCCATCGGTGGCTGATAGCGATGTGATCTATTTGGGTCCAACGTTGGGACGAATTGGGGGGTCACCATGTTAAAAGATGTTTTCCCTTATGCTTAAAGTTAGTATTTGCAAGAAAGAGGCGGTTATTTGAGCATAGCTGCAACAGACGGTCCCCATTATCTGTTCTTTAAGCCACGACGCTATAAGATCCACCCAGGTGTCTTTCCCTTTCGCTTAGTTTATCTACTTGAGAATTAAATTCACCAGCCACTATTACTACATCCGAGCGCTTAGGTTTTCGGAGAAGGTCGGAAAGCTTTCTGTAAAACTCATCTTTTGCAGCCTCTGAGCTACAGTCAGTGGGAGAGTAGGTAGAGACGACGAAGAGGCAACGATAAGTGTCCCTATATTTTCGGATCCTTACTGTTCCATTCAGTCGGACAGCGCACAAACGGCTGTCTGCTGGGATCCACTTTAAGAGAGCTAGTTTTGCCCTAGGACTCAATGCTATACCTACGCCGGCGAGGCCACGAGAAGCATCGTCAGGGCTTCCAGATATACGAAGTGTGAATCTAGTTGGTTCTTTATTTTGACATAGTGAGGCCAAATGAATGACGCTACTCGGATCCTGTATGCGCGTTCCGGAGACGCAGCACACGTCGATGTCGCGAGATTCTAAAGTCCTAGTTAAGGAAGCCTGCTGTCCTATTTGGTACAGTGTTCGGACGTTAAAAGCTTATGTGTGTAGTTTAGAGAGTGGTTTCAGGAGACCAGGAATAACATTCCGCATACCCGAATCGTTTGCCCTAGCGATGCGCGGTGATAAAGGGACGTGAGAAGGGTTAGTCGGGGAGATAAGAGAGGTATTAGGAGGTGTATGAAGGATTTGAATGTGACGAACTTGATCTCGTGTACTATTACGGGTATGAGGGCTGATGTCACTTCCCGGCTGCCCACACCGTGGAAGGGTATTTCTTGAGGGACCTGAAAAGAAAGTTGGATTAGTGTTGGTCTTAACGACTTGAGAGCGTGACCGCAGAGTCCAAGGTATATTTGCTTGAGGCCGGTCGCGCACGGCGTTTTCGTGGGAAGTTTTTAATGTGTTTGCTCCGTTCTTGAAAGAGCCTTATTGCCGGAGGCGGAAATCCGTGAGGTAAGTTGAGGTGTGACATTTTTAGGGCCAACCTTCTCTAACCCCAACCTTCCTTGTGAGAAGGCAGCATTGCTGCAGATACTGGTTGCCCAAGGGAAACACCTCGCTGCCGTCACACCCCTCTACGGTCAGCAGTACGACTTCGCCCTCAGACCTTGGGTTGCTGCTTTTAGTCTTACTGTTCTCCAATCGACCTGCCTGGCATGGTAGAACCTACAGGAACATATGTTCCAGCCAATATAGCTCGGTTGGGTCATCACGATAGGCAAGCCCGACCACCGCGTCAAGGTAGCAGCTACAGTCGAGCAAAAATACTGATAAATCAAATGAGCTCCTGCCCAGTCAAATGCACAAGATAGTTATTCTATCGGTTCAAGGAAATATTCGTTTTAAGTTAACTAACACTCTTTCAATCTACAGAATATGACAAAAAACAAACTTGTTTTATTTTAAAAAAACTGAAACAAAGTATCAAATACGCTTTATCAGATTCAATTGAATGCTACTAATATGATAAGATTATTATGTTTATGAACCAGTATCAAATGCCCACCAGTAAATATGTGAACATTATAACAACCAAACTAACAAATCATACCACATCAGACATCCTATCTCGGTTTTATTTCCTATGGAGTGATTAATGATGGTAATGTTAGTGTTGAATTCGCAGTTAAAACAGACGGATATTTTGAGTCACACAAACGAGGATGGTAGATATCCCCAGGAAAAACTTTCTTTGAAGATTTGATTACCAATAATAAGTCAGTAGACCACTATTATTATGCGTCTGGGGATCTGAGATGTGAATGAAAACTTGAAGCATCATGACAAAGCCTACCAAAAACCACTTATGTTTGAAAGTGTTTTTACCTTTTTTTAATGAGTTACCTGTTCATCTATGAAAGCATTACTCCCTTAACATAAATAGCATTTATACTAGCTTTGCGAAGCTTATTAAAGTCTTATGAATGTGGAAAATGAAATTTTCCAATAACCATAAGTTTTAAGGATAAGGGTCACACATCTATCAGACATACTGCAATATGACCACTTTTTGCCAAGTTTTTCCATAACAGTATAGTATGTTTGTTCACTTTTACCCAAATGAATACGAAAGATAAAATTATCAATAGACTTGGTATTTCTTCTTATTTAACAACTATTGAACTATCTGGGGATAACCAAAAACAAAAGAATACTTCAGTCCCAAAAACTGTAAACAAAACGACTATATACTTAGCTGCAACCTCGAATAAAAAATTTAACTACATACATTCCTACAAATATTCAAAAGACAACTATGACAACACTTTGAACGAAAAAAGATCAGTGGGAATCGGTTCGCGATATGAGTGAGGATGATTATGGATTAGAAAAATATCGATGTTACCCCTGATTTTCCTTTACACGGACAAGGAAACTAACTTTCCCTTTTTTCTACACAGCTCCTGACGAATTGGATAAAAAAAACACTGTTTGTGTATCGGCAGTTTTCAGGCAAAGTATTTCTGAATTCTGTCGACAAATCAAACAATCTAGAAAAAGGCACTTTATGTAAAGAAAAATACATGCTGAAATCTTAAGAAAGGAAAAAACTGGAGAGCAATGGCACTAACAAAAAGAGCGAAACACCTGTTTTCAAAACAAATGCTATAAATATGAAAAAATGGTATTACTTTTGATATATTCTTATCGATTTTGGTTAATAATCCATTTGTCATCTCATCAATTGAAACAAGCATAGTTTGCTTTTTTGTTTCCAGCTGAGCTTTTCTAAGAGTCTTTTCGTGTTGGTATTCCTTATAAATTAGAGATAACATTCAGCACTCCAACACGAACGTTCTTGGATCAATCAGTTGACCTAAGGCAACGTGTAACTGACTCCTAGTTAACTGAGAAAAAAACATGGGAAAATACCATAAAATAACATTGATTATAAGGCTCTTGTAGATTAGCTCGCATGCGTTCGTTAAAAAGTCAACTCTTCATACCGCAATAAATCGTCAAAGCATGCGATAAATTACTAGTGCATGTTAGCAATCAACTCTTTGATAGCAATCGTCTGCTATTATTGACAACTAATCAGCCTGGAGTTGATGCAAGGACAAACTTATGTCGTTTGATCCACATAAACTTGGGTTATGTAAAGCATTTCAAGTAATATCAACTGGTGAGGGGTTACAACCTAGGTTGCTGCACTAGTGTAGCAGTATTGTCCCAGAATCTGCCGTTGCGTCCTGTAGTTACGTTCATTAAGTACCTAGTGAAGCAAATTGTATAGTTTCGGTTGTTTTATTAACAAATTGTAGGTGGTTTCACTACTGGAATGTCTCCACCTGTTCACCTCTCAATGAAGCGACAGCTAGACAGAGTTGCAATTAAGATGATGGTGACATAACTGTAAGAAAGGTCAACGAAATTCTGGACCTTTTTCGGGTGTGAATTCCTGAACTGGCTATGCACGTCCAAAGTGTACTTTGTCGTTGCTGGAATGCGGGACCCAATTTTCTAGTTTCGCAAGTGTTCACAGACCCAACTGTAATTCTTTTTAGTTTAGCAAACAATATTGTTATACCAGTGGTGTGTAGTCAACCTTTCACATCGCATTATGGATTCATAGGTTGGATGATTGCTATGATATAGGGCATTCATTTGTCTGCTGTTGGTAATTTGGCTGTTTTGATACTGCGTTTGTAATGCAGAAGAGTAACTTTTTCTTTTTGTAGAACACTGAATAAAAGTTCAACACCAACCTGATAAATGCAACGGAAACGCATTAGCAACTGTTAAGAATTCGAGGACATTATTTATTGGTGGAAAAATCGCATTTTTTAACTTTGTTAAACATATCCGTTTATAGCGCACCAATTTTTTTCATTACAATGCTTATCTATTGCGACAGATTGATTCTTCTTATCAACTACGGTTCAATTGCTTCGGAACCGCGTTCACTTTGAGAAGTTAACTGAAAATAAAAATAAACTCTTGTGCACATGTTATTAAGTCGACAGGATTTTCTGTACAATCAGCTGATTGTACAGACCACTAGTAGTCTTGGGGATAACCCGGAATCGTGCAGTGTCCCCAAGATGCAAAAAAAATATTGAGGTCAAACCACAGAAAGCAGATGTGTTTCCCCAAAGTGTCATAAGATTCTGAAGAAAATTTGGGGTTTTTGTGCCATTTCCTAAAAATTTTCTATAATGGCTTTCCTAAAATTTCACCAAAAATAGAAAGGTTGGGCCCATCAAACAAATATTATAAATACAATGTGTAACATAAGATAGGTTCACTCAGTGACTCCAAATGTTTTGGAAAAACTAGTGAGTGAGTGAGTGAATACTTGTAGAATTAGACCAAAAGGCCGCCGAAGAACATACTTGAGATCGATCATTATCCAATTTTTTTCAGTCCTCAGTAATAAGAATAGGAGGTTCATCAACCTATATTATTATTTGCAGTTTTCAAAAATAAGGAGTTCAAATCTCGGTCCGAATATATCAACAGAATGTGCTGGTATTACGTGTTCCGGCAGAGAATTTCAGTAATTCACTACTCGGTGTGAGAAACGAAATTCCAGACGTAAACGATTTGATCTCGGTTTTCGAACTGTCCTCGAATGTTCTTCCAAATGATCAATCTTAGATGGAAGCGAAAGATAAGACATGTTAATACCATGGTCATCAGACAAGGTGCCAACTAATAGACTGCTATTGAAGTTGGCGAAATTCATTAGCCCCATGGCAATTTTTTTTAAAAACCCCCCACCCTTTTTAAAAATGTTTTTTCAACCCAAAATTACAATATTTTTCATCCCGTTTCGTCCAATGAAATGGCTAGTTTTGAAGTTCGTTTTTAATTTGTTAGTTATGTTTTGTCGGATTGGTATAAAACATCAGTACTTGTCGACGAAGTACATTTTAATCATCATTATGGAGGACAGTAACGTGCCTAGTACAAGCGCTGTTGTTTCTCACGTAACAGAAATAGAGGAAGTCTTTTTGACAACGTTGTTTCTCGTTGCGTTCCCATCGGTTGAAGCGTTGAAGTCCGCTATCACAAATTATGAAAAATCAACTTACTGTCATTATGTAGTTCAAGATTCGCATTTGTGCAGAAATGAAAACTCGTACATTAAATTTGTGTGTTGGAGACATGGCCATATAACATCTAGCGGTTCGTCACAGCGGATCAGACGGAGGAGGTAATTTTATAAATGTTATTAACATTTTTTGTCATGAAGGGCTTCCATGAACACTCAATGTCCGGCCTCCATGTATTGTAAGATTATCGACGGCTACTGGACTGTTGTACGTGGGAATGTGCATCACAATCACGAGTGCGATTCCCTGAGGTACCAAGGTGATTCATGGGTGCGCAGGTTAACAGAGGCCCAGTTTGAAAATGTGCGACCGCTGCTAATATCTGGTACTGCTTCATTCCACATTAAGAATTATGCTTACCATTCTTATGGGAAACTACTGAATGATCAAGATATCTTTAATATGCGGTACAAAGTGTTCGCACAGGCGAAAATTCCTGGTAAGCCATTTGCCAATTTATAATGTAAACGATAGGTGATTACGGAAAATTGAAAGCGCACATAACATCTTTGGGTGGGCTATGCGAATATGAATTAGACGATGAGAACTGTCTATCGTACTTTTTCTTCAGCACTGGTGATCAAAAGATTTTTGCAGACCGTTTCGGTGATGTTGTTGGTTTGGATGGAACATACAAGACGAATAACGAGAATATCTATTTATATCAGGTCGTAGCCCTTGATATGAATTTGAAGGCGATACCCGTTTGTATTGCATTTATAAGTCGCGAAACATCGACTTTGATTTCTCGATTCTTGTCGTTCTTCCAACGGTCAACCAACAGTCGACAGGTGGTAGGCATTGTGACAGATGATTCACCTGCAATAGCTGCTGCCATCATGCAGGTGTATCCCAATGCCCACCATATCTTGTGTCGCGTCCACCTTGTTCGCAATGTTATAAAGAGGGTAAGTGTTTCGTTCATTAACATTAACCCAGTGACCTTAATTGTAGAGGGTACGACCAGAAGTAATACAACTATTTTTTCGCCTGATGTTTACTCAAACGGTTGAAAGGTAAATCAAAAGCAACATAATATTATTTTGTAGTTTTAACAATGTATTATCCTTGATCAAAATATCGGACGGAACGTTTGCCCGATATGTCCGAGACCACCTATTACCGAGAAAACACAAATGGTCTACAGCTTTTCGACCATCAGCAACGCTGCTTCAACTCAATAATACGAACTTTGTTGAGACAAGTCACCGAATTTTGAAGATGCATCAACTGAGTCGAAAAATACCTGTGCTGAGATCTATTTTTAGTGTACTAATTCGCGTTGGATATTGGATGGAAGCAAGATTACAGAAATATACATCAGATTGTCGGTTAAAAGCCAACATCGGCCAAGAGCCAGCAATGCGTGAACTTCAGGAACGACTGACACCAGCTGCATGTCAAGTACTGAAGCGGCACCTGCGCACTCCTATGACGGAGTTTGTAATGTCTGTTGACTCCTTCACGGCTGTGGACGCAACAGGGACTTACAATGTACACCGTGATTCCATGCGCTGCTCCTGTACATTTTCCATTGAAAACGGTTTGCCATGTCGGCACATAGTGGCATACTGTACACACATTATGACTGATGTGAACTTACAGTCAATTTGTGATTGGTGGTTACACTCTGATACTTATCTGACTCGTATTGCAGTTGAGAATTATTTCCCAATGCAATTGAGCCAGCCGAGCATGAAGAATACAGTGATTGCGTTAGTCAGGCGACTGTCTGAGGAACAATGCAGTTCACTTTATAGCCAGTTTTATCATGAACTTCACGGTAGACTAGCACCAACGCCGTTGAACTTAGAGGCTGAACCGCAGTTGTACACTGGAACAAGCATGTCGACTAACTTTACAACGCCGTTGATGCACCGAGGAAATGTCGATTTGGATGAAACGTTAAGTAACGACGAGGATGACGTAGTTTCTATAAACTCAGAAGAGTTGACAGAACGGGACATCCAAAATGAAGAAGATGACGAGAACCGTTTGTGTGACATCTGTAATCTTGCACAGCCGCCCTATGAAACTGGTGATGAAGTGGGTTGGGTTTTCTGTACTTGTGAAGCTATGTTTCATAGATTCTGTGCTTATGACCCATCACCAAACATACGAGCAGTCCACTGTCCGATATTTGGCGCCGTTACCAACTAATAGCTTGGACGTCCCACCGCGAGAACGATTAAAGGCCCTTTTCAGGGCCACCCACAAATTGATTTAAAGGCATTTTTCCCAATATTGTTTTTGTCTTTGGCAAAGGTCAAGTGATTAAGCACTTTTTAATGTCGAATGCATTTAGATATACCCTAGATATTAATAATGGATAAGCGATTATCGCTCATGTATTCGTAAACTTGTTTCTAATGTATAATACATATAAAGGTTACGAAAACAGACAAGATTTTGTAATTTAATGAACACTGATCTAATAATTTTAGATGTAAAATAATGTGATTACCGTTCATGTCTTAGTAACATATTTGTAAACTATCTATTACTAGTACATTTTAATAGGAATATTTTAAAATAGTGAAAATCGTTATTTTGTCGTTAGGTGAATAAATTTATGATGACATTTATTTTTGAATATAATAAGATAGTTACAAAGATGAATGTGATTAAAGCTCATAGAGAAGTAAACAAATTTGAGAAAATTATCTTCCTTATGAATAAGATACTGACATTATAAAACAAGTTCAAGCAGTCATCATTGAAATCATTAATGTGATTAAAGGCCATAAAGTAAGTGTTAAAAGAAACAAGAATATTATCCGTTTCATGAATATAAAATGCAAGAATTTCATATTCCAGTTTTATATTAATAGCACCTGAAACCAGAACTAAGCGTACGTATGAATTACGTCTGATCGTCAACTAAGCCTTCATTGTTATTCATAACTACTGATTATATCAACGTATTCATTTGCACACCCATATAACTAATAATTACTAGCACAATCACACTATACAGTTATAAGTTCATAATTTCCATATTTTATAAAGGCCAAAAATATGTCATGGCATTAATGAATTTGACAATGTAATGTGTTAACAATGGTTAACGTTAACATCTGTTACGACATATATATATACTTACAAATTGTAATATTTGCAAATTAGAAAGGTCATTCATTAAAGGTCGGGATGATTTGCAGTAAAGTGTTCAGTTACAATAAGTGACTAAACATTATAGGAAAATTTAAAATGCAAAACATTTTGTATCAATGAAATGCATAGTATGAGAATTGAATCTTGTCAATTGACATAATAATAATAATAATAATAATAGTAATAATAATAATCATAATCATAAGGACAATAAATAATAATAACAAATTGTAAACGTTCATTGATACAGTTGGCCTTATTCATATTTATACGTTTAATGTCGACAGATATTTGTTGAGTCAGTCAGTCAGACGACATAGGCTTGTTCATTTACACTTTATGAAACTGATATTTCAAATACTTGTCAAAAATGGTAACATTCATAATGTCTAAATAAGTCAGGTTTCATATTACGCGGTTAACAATATTCACACATGACTGATTAAACACACTAGTTTTTATTATGACCAAAAAATTAATTTTAAAATGCAGAACTACAAATAATTTACAAGTGAAAACAATAAACCGTGTTTCAATGGACTTTTAAAATGAACCGAATTGACATCTAACCTTTTCTAATTCTCATTATGAATGACCATTTACAAAATAATCGTTCACTAAATATTAAGTGTCTATTTCGGGAAAATTTATTGCTACTTTCATATACTGTCAAAGTCAGTTCATTAAATGATGGTCTACGGTTGCTTCACCTGAATTATACATATTGCAATCAGTAATTTATCATGATGATTTATTAATATGTTGATTTGTTTCTCGAATTAACAGACCATGTGTTACCAAAAAACCTATGCATACACTTTAGTGATAATTTGTTTATTAATTTGGTATTAAACATTTGACTACCGACCTAATTCAGTAATCACTATTATCAAATATTCAAACCGGTTTTCAGTTGCTTTTTTGCAAAAAATTTCTTTTTATGTGATACATATAAGTACTCGTGACATTAAAATTTTTGATCGGAAAACAAAAATTTATCCCAATACACATTCACTAACAGTACGATTGCACGGTAATGCAATTAAGTTCGTGTCTTTTTCTTCAAAAAACTAAATTTTTTTCAAGACTAAGATTACGCAAAAAAAATCATTCATTATCATTAAATTTCAAATGTAAAAAATGAAAATTCTGACATCCAATCACAATTCGAGATGCGATTTTGATTTCAACTAATCAGATTACAAAGATGAACAGTTTACGACCAATTACAAAATTATTAAAGGTGACAAAATGTTTGTTCATTATCACTTGAGCACACACCTGCAAAACAAGTACACCAATCACCGATCGCTAAATTTTTCTTTGACACCATACATTTTTTTAGAAATGGGTGGTAGGGAATCTTAAATGCCGTGGGCATAATGTCAACCGAAGTTG